TAAAAGTGTCAGACTTTCCGGAACACTTTCAAAATTTAAGTTGAAAAAGTCAATTTTTTTTGAAAAAGTTGTCATTTTGAATCCCCCCCTGTAGGCAGGTAAAAGTCAGATTTATAAAAAATAATATACCAAATGATAGGTAAAGACATCATGCATCTACAAAAAAAAGAATTATATTGATCCATACATCTTTCGAGAAGTTATAGCATTATAAAGTTAAAAATATAAAAAAGAATTTTTTTACAAAAATCGTATTTTTTTTATTAAGTTTAATGTCTGTTTTCACCATGAAGATAAAATAAAGTCCGAAATTTTTTTTTACCATTATAAAGTATATTACATTAGCTTTAATTTAAGATATATATAAAAGTGTCAGACCTTCCGGAACATTTTCAAAATTTAAGTTAAAAAAATTAATTTTTTGTGAAAAAGTTGTCTTTTTAAATCCCCCCCTGTATTTAGGGAAATGGTCCGATTTAAAAAAACAGTATGTCGAATGAAAGATCTATATAAATACTACTTCTCATAAAAAAATTGTAATGATTCATACATTTTTCAAAAAGTTATAGCATAATAAAGTTAAAAATGGAAAATACAAAATCGAAAATTTTCACACAAAAATAGCATTCGGTAGCCATTTTCACCATGAAGATAAGATAAAGTCCGAAATTTTTTTTTTTCATGATAAAGCATATTACATTAGCTTTAATTTAAGATATATATAAAAGTGTCAGACCTTCCGGAACATTTTCAAAATTTAAGTTAAAAAAATTAATTTTTTGTGAAAAAGTTGTCATTTTAAATCCCCCCTTGTGGGCAGGTTAAGGGTTAAATTTATGAAAAAAATATACCAAATGAAAGGTAATGATATTATGCATCTATATAAAAAAGAATTATATTGATATGTTTATTTTTGAAAAAGTTATGGCACTTTTAAGTAAAAAAAATTGAAAAAATTTCGAAAATTAGCGATTTTTAAATTTGTAATTTTTTTGGAGGTTTCCCCCTTTTACGGGGAACGAGGGAATTTTTTTCAATTTTTAAGGGTAATGTCTTCGACTAGATACGATTTGTGATCTTTTGACGTATCATTGAAAGAAATCGGTTCGGTGAGAGCTGAGAAAAAGTGGTAACAGACACAAAAAAAAAAAAAAAACACATCTTAGTAAAACCAATACCTTCTCAGCTTCGCATCGAAGCTAAAAAAGGTAAAAAGGAAACAAGCTATCACTTAAAAGACTGTTATTAACACTATCACTATTTTTCATTTTACGAGGTTAGTAGTACTATAAATGTGGTCATAATGAAAAATATACTTAAAAATATTGTTACTGTTAAGGTACATCCGCTGTAACAGTATATTTTTTTTACAAGAATATATCCTTTACAATAAAGCCACTGTACTAAAATATTTTTATGTCATCTTGCTTGTTGGATTAGTAAACTTTTTAATTAAAAATAATCCATAAGAGTATTATAAATGTATTAAAATATTATTAATTTTGAATAACTAATTAAAACAAGGCTTTAAGAGTTATAAATAATTTGTAAATAAAATAAGAGTTGTATAAAAAATTAATCCTTATTTTAACGTAGAAAATTTTTAAATATCAACAAATCTAATATTTCGATGATTGAGTGCACAGAAGAGATACATGATATTTTTAGCAAAAACAAGTTTTGGCATAGAATAAATTTAGACACCCTAGTGCATTCTTTTACATCAATAATATTTTATTGTTTTTTAAATTCCATCATGTTATTGTATTTTAAAGTTTCAAATTTACATTAATACTTATGACAATAAAAATCTTTAAATTGACCTCGTGATAAAGTCTTAAACTTACATCTTTTGTGTGCTTGAACAATGATTTATTTATATTACTAATTAATTAAAAATTAATCTCATTTTATGTATTTTTAGAGTCAAAAACGCGAAAAAATTGGCTAGTAAAATTATAATAATATTTCATTGGAATATTAATTTTGTATTTGTAATTTTAAATAGAATTCTATAACAATTAATTGAATGTCTTTTATATGTCTAAACTAGTAATAACTATTATTGTTAATTTGAGCACAATTTCAATTATTTGAAAATAATAAAATAATAGATAACTTGTAATTCTCTATAATTAATCAAACAGTTAAGGCTTACAGATGGTAAATTGTAAATGTGAATTAATTATTTTCATATTTACTATCTACTATCTGTTTCTTAACTCTACAGACTAATTTGAACCATTTTGTGATATCTCGGAATAAGGGACAATGATATTAATAAAGCCGGATTCCCACGACTGGTGTACACCAATAATTGTATACTTGCCAAATTGTTTAATTATCAACAAGTAGAGCGTTCCCATGACTGGTTAGTTGATAAGTATGTCAGTATTTGTACATTTGTACAAGTAATAAACAAAAGCCAAATAAAAATTTGTACTGACCTGTTCAGAATAACTTATAATATTTATAAACGCATAAAAATCCGTTACCAGGTAATTACATATCTATCGTAATTAAATTAAAATATTAGTACTAAAGATTTCATTTTTTACCTGCCGTCACACAAAAGTATTCGTTGAACAGTTGAGTGGCTAAAGTAGTTGCAGCTAATGTGGAGTACGACACAAACAAACAAATAGTATGAGCTATCAAATTGCCAGAGTGAACTGTTACTCTAAGTTCGGGTAAAACGGCATAAATCAGTAGTGTAGCAGCCAGGAAAATTGCACCAACCACAAAGTAGGTACCGTATAAAATATCTCTAAATTTAAGAGTTCCTGCTGGACTGTTAGCACCAGGAACGCGACAAGCAAGAACACTTTTGGTGAACGGTTTACCGTCTACGATAACTACATCAACGCAATAATCGTCCTTTTCGATTACTGCCAGTCCATCTTGTACAAGCAACCGGCCATCTTGTAAAACTTGATAATCTGTGTGTTTCACGCTGTTTGGAAGATTTGAAAGGTAAGACCCTCTAGTACCACAATAGGGTGGTCTCATAGGCGAAAAGAAAAAATCCGAACCTAAATAAATATTTATAAATATCATTTATATGTTATGTACAATCATATACTACTCATATATATCTTGCACTTACTTTGTAATATGGAACCGTTGGTGCTTTTCAGGCTTATTGAAGCAGTGAGATTAGTTTTTCGACATCCAGTGGGTGCATTTTTCTTATATTCGAGTACCAATCCTTTATTACAGCATTTTGGTATACACAAGACCTTTGAACAAGTTTGACAAGCTAACGCAACGTAGCTATATTTAGGTTCGGTACTGGGAATACTTCGTCTTGCGGGTTTCTTCATTTTGTCACTACTTCCCGTCGACAACGTAAAGTTATCTACCAATGACACACGATCAATACAATATTCAGATGTTTCAAATATAAGCCTGCTATTATATGACCAGAAAGCAGCCAGTTGTCCGTTGTCCAAAAGAACAATGTCACTGTCCAGCATCATCACTTTTCGATCTTCTAGGTCACAAGGGAATCTTCCTTCCGATTCGAATAATTGAAAATCTGGTATGACAGCCTGAGAAAAATTGTCCGCTTTTAATACTTCCATGAAAGCAGGTATCCACCTACAAAAAGTATTGTCAGAATGGTTTTATATCACAGTGCGATCCGCTATTTATGTCCTACGCAATATTTTTAAAAATGTATAATTTTTCTTTACAAAAGTTATTAGTATCCCAAACACTTAAATTAATAAAAAAAAAAATTATTATAGCTTCTCACTTTTCCCCATAAAATTGTACCAATTTACGTTTTTAAATGGTAACATATATGTTTAACTGACTTAAAACTAAGAACATGACTGGTTGATAACAAATCTTGCACCAGTATTTCGGAAATTATTAACATTTAACACCGCACTTTTCCTCCCACTATAAAACAAAAGTACTAATATTTTTCAAATACTGGTTTAAAAGTTATTTTCGACCAGTCATTTTCTTATTTTCAAGTTAGTTAAACATATGTATCAAATATTTTATTTTATGTTTATACTATTGTAATATCGTACAATAAATACTATCTGTGAAGTAGTGGTAGCAGGCTATATTTTAAAGTGCAGTTGATCATTATTTGTGTAATTACATGTAGCACCTCAATTATTTCCAAATTTGTATAAAATGACCTAATCTATTTTAATAATACCTATTATTTCCGTTTCATGTAAAAGAAGCCTTCTTTGGCGAGGAAAATTAAAACATGGTTAAGAACATCTATATAGAAAATTATATTTAACATTCTTTCATATTATGTATTGAAAAAAATAGAACTAAAATTTTAAATACTGAACATATTTAAACTGTATCATATAATATGTATGTCGCATAAAATGTTACATGATTTATTTATAATATCACGATTATAATTTTCCTAAACTTATTTGAGGGGCAATAACACGTTTTGCGACAAAAATAATAACAACATGCCCCAAAAAAAAAAAAAAAAATGAAAATATAACGTTTTTGTATCAATACAAAATTATTTCCTTGATTATTACATTGGAATTATACGTTTTGATGCGAAATGGAAATAATACGTTTTGTATAATCTACTAATCTTTATAACTTTTTTTGTATCGTTAATTATTGTGGAAGAGAAGTAAAAACGAAAAATTTGAATTTGTCGTCAGTTTTACAATAAGGATCAATATATACCTAAAAATACATACTCTCGAAAATAATACATTTTTTAAAGTTTTCCTTTGTTAATTAATTATTAAATTAACCATCGATATTTATTTGAATTAGATTAATTACCATGGTGCAGTATTGTTGAACATTGACAGTGATAATTCTTCATGAAGATTTTCGGTAGTAGCGTTAGTGTTGTCAGACTTATCATCAGATGACCACTCGTAAATTTCCCTCGTGCCTTGCAATTCCGTGTCATATCCTGTACACGTTGCAAAGTCCACTCTGAGTATCATATCTCTGGGACAACATTTTGTAACTTTACCACAGTTACAAACTATAATTGACCACGCTACAAACCACACGGTAGTGACGTAGGTCCTCGACATGGCGCAGTCAATAATATATGTATTTGACTACATAATAAATTTTAGGACCATTGAAAGTTAAATGCTAAAAAAAATATATATATATATATATATAAATATAATAAATATTTATTTATTTATACAAAATGATAGTAATTGTATTCTAGTGTCCAATTGACTCTTGAGTAAGGTCTCAACAAAATATTTAACTATGAGCCTTTTATTAAGAACAAATTCTGATTATTTTAAAGAGCTAGGTGCAAAAAAAATTCTTATTAATAGATTTTTATTGCATATCAGCTGCCAGTAGCATGTATATATCCAAAGTCCACCTGACTTTGGGGTATATTTACAGAAATTCACTTGTCATGCGCCTCATAATAACACGTAAATTAAAGATAAGTAAAAACTTCAACTTTTACAAATATTTCTTTATTATTGTTAAGTACTTTTTAAGTTGATCTTTAATGCTATAGAATTCCCAATTTAATTTTATCAGATATAATATGGGGTCTACCATGTGTGAATAGTCAATTTAGCTGACTAAATTGAATAATTATGATCATTGTGGTGTAGAACTTAAAATTTTTACTCGAGATTGGAGTAAATATTTATAACTAGACTAATAATCTAAAATCTCTAGTTTCCCTATCGGTAAACAGGAAATTTGTAAAAAATACGTTACTTGATGATTACTATCTTTAATAAAAAATGCAACATTTTTAAGTAGTCAAGGACCATCAGGTTTTTATTAATATGATAAAACTTTTACTAATTCAGAGTTTTAACGAAGATGTAAACACTGAAATTAAAAATATTCAAGTTTAAAGATATAATCACTCATAAATAATAAAATAATGCAAATTAACATAATCTTTATAATTTATATAATTTGACACCTTAACTTCAGAAATATTTTCACTAGCAAATAGCAAGAATATTGGCATAAACAAAAATGAGGACAACATAGATGACAATACATGTTCTAAGACGAGTTTGTTTTCCGTCAATACTTCTAAAAAATAAGTCATAACACAATGCATGTGCCAAATTATTACTATTGAGACGTAAACATTTTGCTATGCATGTATAGTAATATCAACTCAATTAGACTGCTCATTAGACTATATATATTACAGTACTTAATTATTTAAATTAATACTATAATTTTTGACATTTTGTATTTGATTTAAGTAAATCACTCGGCACTCGTTCAATAAAATGAACATTATACGTAAAATTATATATTTACCACAGAGTTTCCACTTATGGCAATAAATAAGTATAATGAAATATCACCCTAGTTAAGATCAAATAACCAGTTAATTTTTATAATTTATGCGGTTTACAAAGAACACTTTTGATGAATATCATATTCATAGCTTCATAGCTTCTTTACATAAATAATTAATTAAAAGTTTTAACACATTGTTTGTAATGAAATTTGGTTTAAGATCGGATTAAATTTAACTATATTTAGAAGTTTTTGTGCAAAAGTTAATAAAATAATTTAAAGAAATATTGAGAAAAATACTTAATTACCATCAATAATAAATCAAGAAAAAACGAATGTATAGATAAATGTTCTAAAATAATTTTAGTAATTTATATGTATTAAATTACATATAAATTACTAATATATAATAATTATGATTTCATCATCTTATAATTAAACAACAAAATTATTATATTTTATAATATTCACTTAACCCTAAATGACGATTTGAATTTTTTAACGAAAATTCTGAATAATATTTACTAATACAATAGAATCGTGTGATTTATAATCCTATTCCTTTAGAAAAGGAATATCATGATAAAATTTTGTTTTTATCTGAAAATCTTAAGTATAGATGTCAACAATAATTTTTAGTTTTTTTCTAATGCATTTTATACATTATATAAAAATATCTGAATTAGTCTTCTGTTTTTATTTAACTATGAAATATTTACTATTAAAATTAATTAAATTTTATCTTTCTATAGAATAGTCGAACTTTCAGAGAATTCAAGAGATTTATTACTGAAAACATTGTAAAGTTTAATAGATTAAAACAACTGATGCGTTGTTTACAATTAAATATTACTTTGGAAAGTGTAAAATACACGTTAGCTTACGTTCGAAGTAATTGCTACTATTTTACACTTGACTTGACTCTATTAAGTGTCCATAGGACCAAATGTTGTATTTGCCATTAATCGAAATGAACAAATTTTGCTATGCATTAAAACTTTATTTGAAGGTATTATTTTATTACTATTTATTTATTCATCCAGAAAAGATTTATTAGATATGACTAAAACAAATTACGTTATCATAAAACCACGGAAAATCTTTTCCAATAATTTGGCATTAATATTCAACTAGGATTTCTAGTTAAAAAAAAAAAAAAAAAAACAAACAAACTTGGTGCCATAAAAAAAAAATTTATAATGAAGTCTAATTAAATATTTTAACCTAATTATGACAAATAAAGTAAATACTAATTATAAAATCAATAACAAAATGAACTAGCACAGTCTATGATATGTGTATCGACTGATGTGATCTTAGCATTGGAAAGTGTAGAAAGAAGCAATAATTTTTTTTTTTTATCTCTCATGTTGTTTTAGTTTTACGCTCATCTGTGTCACTAGTACTGTTATCGTTGGCATCGTTAGCGCTCAGTTCAAAAGTTGCGATTTTGTATGTCTTTTGTGTGCGTGTGTTACTCATGATTGGTCTGGTCTGTATACATATCGCAGCTGTGTTAGCCAAACATAACCATCGTCGAATTCACGGCCATCAATGCACAATATTGTTTCCTATGTAATTTATTCGAAGTTGTATTATGTGCTTTTTTGCCGAGCTGCCGCGGAATAACAAACAGCGGATAGTTTTAAGTATGTATGCGTGTCTTTCGCTCTATTATAGTTGGTCTTCTTTTATTTTAGTACACTTTTTTGTACTAACTGAATACGGCCATTAATTTGCACGGCCGTGTGCTGAAACACAATGGCGTATAATCCGTGAACGATTGACAGACGATATTCAAGTCAAATCTCACCGATAAACGGCCAGTGAGCCGTCGCAACTTTTGAATTTTCTTGCTCATAAAGTTATCTATTGCATCAAAATTACTTTTATTTTAAATACACAGTGATAACAATTACTACCTGTTTTTAGCATTGATCACATACCGTAACCATAAAAATAATACTATCCAGGTTCGGTTGAAAAGACAAAAATTTAAAAAGCTTGAAAGCAAACAAAAAAATATCTCATCAACTGAACAATTATAAAACAGGCACGGCAATATTTAGCTCCGGCACTGATATTATTGTAAATATAGTCATACCTTCTTAAATGTTCAAAAATATTTATTATTAGTATGGTTTGTATTTATATGGATATTAAACCCATATTATTAAGCTGTAATAGTTATTTAATAGATCTACTATAAATTAATAATGTTGTTCAAACTCAAAAAGGTTAAGTGGTTGATTATAATTTAATATCGACTTAACTACTAAATAGAATATCTCGAGTAATTTATTGTTTTAATTAAATTATTAAAAAGAGAATAGCTAAGACAAATTAGTAACGAATTCGTAAAAATAATCACTATTTTACACTTGATTATTCATTTTTTAAGTCTAATAAATATAATGATTTATGATAAAGTTTATGTAATTTTTGAAGCTGAGTCGAGTATTGTTAAGTTAGTATTTCATAAATAGTGTGTTAAAGACTATTTAATGAATAATACTATTTATAGAAAAAAATGTTTTATCGTATTCTACACGATACGAATAGATAATTATAGATATTAATAGATAATTAAGAGGGGCGGTGTTGCCGAGTCAGTAATGTGACAGTGCTTGCCGCACACTGACTCGGGTTCGAAACTCGGTCACGGGAAGCTTCATTTGTCAAGAGATCAGTTTTATCGAACTGATCTGATTGATGTCACCATAACTCTCTCCGACGACAAACTAACCATCCATCAATGGTTAAGAAACCTCCTCCAAAGGAGGAGGCCGCTATGGCCCTTAATGGGCTTAAAAAACATTAGATTTAAAAAAAACAAATAATTATGTTCGTATAGAAAATAAATTTTATTTTAGTTTATTGTAATGGTGTATAAAAATTAATTATCAATAAAGATATATAAGTCATAAATATTATTAGTTTTTTGAAAAACCTTCAAAAAATGAATAAAAATCTATTGAAATTTTTTTTTTTTTTTTTTTTGCAGAAATCGTGTCAATATATTTATGCGGATAAAAGTTTAAATGACTAGCAGGTCAATTTTCGAAAATTTAATAATATTTAGTGAAATACATAATATTTAACGTTTTTATATCTTGACACGTAAATATTTTTTTTTTTTATACCTTCAAATTAAAAAAAATACATGTATTGTACTTATACAATTTTGATTGACAGAAGAGATCCATTACTTTCACCCTCCTACATAAATATTCAGAATGATATTAAGGCATATTATTAAACAAAAAGGTGGCAAAAAAAACAGTTTATTGAAACCCGTAGTATAAAAATTAATTTCAATAACAAAATAACAATAATAACGATCCATAAACGAGTGATACAAAAAAAAATCAACCCACGGGTCGATATTGGAAGTTTAGATGGTGAAACTGTATAAACTACCGTTATTAGTACAATTGTAATAAAAAATATTATATTAATTTGACCTGTCTCATAAAATAAAAGTTTACTTATGATCATATTATTATTGACCTTAGTTAAGAGGGCCGATTCTGGTTTGATATAACAAATGAACTCAAAATGAGACAATAGTACTATTAAAGACAGAACACTGCCATATATCAAATTTAAATTTGATAAATAATTTCCAGTAGCACTTATAATCAATTTATTAAATATAAATCTATTATACTTACGGATGATCTTGTAGAGTATGGTTAGAAAATTATTATCATTTAACTAGAGATTTGTAGGTTAAAATTTTTTCTTCTAAATTAAACAAATAATAATATTGAGAAATAACTTTGAAGGTCTGGACGAAAAAATGTATTTTATCATCTCTTGATAAAATTTTGATACTGATATTATTCATAAAAATTCATTAGGATCATATTCAAAAAAAAAATTTCTCAAGATCACTTTCTAAAAAATTATTATTTTTATTATAAGACTCAAGACGTTACATTTAATAGTTTTAAAAATGTTTATCCGCTCTGTGTACCTATTTACTTTTTCTTGTCATGATTACATATAATTTTATTTTAATTTGAAAATACTTAAATTTTCAAATATTGCTGTGAACTTTAATTCTTAGAAATAGTTCTTTAAAGTGCAACAATATGTATTTCAAAATTTGACAGAATGTGATTTTTTTAAGAATAAAATAAGAATTTCTGAGCACTTTTTCTGTGAATTTTTTTATAATAATAAAATAATCTCTTTTATTAAAACTTATACAATTTAAAATAATTTTTTTATCATTATAATAACCAACAAATATAAAATTTAAACTGTTATGTAGTATATATAAAAATATTTATCTGTAACTTTCTTTCCAAAGAAAATCCACAGGGGATAGTAGCACATTTAGAACAAATATAGATGATATCTGACAATCATTATAATCACTATCATAAAAAACGCTCTGATGCAAATCTGTAGTGTTTAATTTTTAGAAGATATTATTGAATTATTCCAAAATAATAATAACGACTATTTCTTTATTTATATCCTAATTACAATTTTTATGATTTATAAACTAGTTAGATATATATATTTTTTTTAATATAATTATTATTTTAAGAGAAATCGAGTGGCTAATATTAAAAGAATTATCTCTATATACAACAACTCTATAACTTATTATAATTTCTTCATAAAATTAACATTACTAAATTATTCAATATCAATTTTATTCTAAATTTAATTACTATAACAAGTAATTATTCATATATTATATTTATAAATCATTCAATGTAAATTTCATTTATTTAAAAATTATATTTTTTGTTTGGCAGCCATTTTCCCATAGATAAAGCGTGGGCACAATTTTATATTTTTTTAACATATAGTATATAACATAAGTTTTAATTTAACATTTGTTTATTTTGAATCCTCACCTGGGGACAGGAAAGAATTAGGGAGACTAAGCCCTTCTAATCCCTCCAAATGAGCGTATACGTTTCTATACTTTCAATAAAATTCCTTTTTTAGTATAATAATTTATTAAATATTATTGAACACTTAAATAATATAATAGTAATACATTAAAATTATAGGGTCATCTGATTTCAATGCAAAAAATATTGTTTATAGTTAACTTAAAAATACCTTTTTATTTATAACAACTAGAAATAAAGAAAAAAAAATTAAAGAAAGTTTAAATTTTGTCGATTTGTTCATAAATATGAATTCGTTTGCTTTCTTTGATCTTTAATTTTTAGAGGAAACGTTCTTAGTTTCGTTTCTACATAAAAAATTTGTTCTAGGAATCGATTCTTATTGGAACCAATTCCTTCCCAACAATCGGTAGTATAGTTTATATAAATATAAAATCAAAACTTTATAAATTCATGTTATGTTATGTCTCAAACGCTACTGAAATATTTTTAACGTATTCATAAATGACCCCTAGACGACAATATTATATAATAAGGCTCCTGTAAAATGGGCCGACAATATAATAAGCAGATAGTATGAACGGCCAACAATTATTTTTAAAATATTTCAAAAATTAGAATGACTTATATTATTATTGAATAAAAAAAAATTATATTAATCCAAATGGATTAAATAATCAATCAAGTAAAAATATTTTAAATTGTCGTCAACTTATATAATACAGGTATATTTTGTCAAAAAAAAAATAAACAATTATACGAAAAACAAAATTATAAATATATAGCAGCCATATTTTGGCAAAATTTATCTGTTTTATTTAATTTTAAATATGTTTACTTGTGTGATTAAATGGAATAATACAATCTATTTTATTCAATAATAATAAAATAATTTTTGAATTTTTTTTTTATATATTGTTTGCCATTCATACTTTCTGTCCTTTATATTGTAAGTCAATACTACTGTCGGCCTTATAGATGTCGGCTCTTTGGGTTTCGGCTAAATAGCGTCATCCAATTTTAAAGTGATTTTGAAGAAATCCACGTTTTTTTGTTCAATTTTTTATATTTAATAAAATAAATTAATTTCAATGTTACAACTTATTGTAAAATTTGAATTTTACTTTGGTTAATTGAACAACATTGATACTCAGGCATAATATACAGATTTAATCTAAAAAATATCATCTCGACGAAATATGTGTTTGTTACGGTAATTTAAGTAACTGAGAGTATACAAGTACAATATATTTATATACTAACAAATTACATTTGCATAATAATGACGTGCATGGAAGTGACTCTAATGAGTATACCAAATAATAACGATAAAAATATACTGTCATAAGAATAATGCATATATTTATAGATATCAATATTGACGAAAAAAATTTTTTTTCTATAGGAATCAATAACAAGATATATTTGTGTGAGAATGTCCCAAAAGAAAAAATTCATTTGGTGTCGCTAGAAGTCATTTGAATATTATGCACTTTGTGACGGTTAATGTTCGTCTTAATGACATATTTTTGATAATAACACATTTTTGTTTACGTGCCGCACAAATATTTAATAGGTATTTTATTGGAACATTAATTATGTGTAGTCTACAATTGAACAGAGTAATCAATATCGGACCAGACAACTCAAACACCAATATTGTTACTTATGAGCACTTAAATAAAACGAAGTGACAGGAAAATTCAAGTTAAGTTCTAGGTAGTTAACTATAGTTTACTAACATATTTTTCAGTAATCCCTTTAGCCAAGAACAAACATAAAACAGTTTATTTTGTATAATTAATGAACACTTGGCTTTTCATGTATTCGCTTTATTTCTTGGACACTTAATCATCAAATATTGACCTTCACTAAATTAATGCATAAGAGTTCATGCTGATAAAAAATAATTTCTCATGGTAGTGAGTTATAATATTTTTCGAATTTTATATTCTCCAAATTTAATATTTTATAAATCTTTAATGAATATACAAAAAAATAAGCCCATCATTGTAAAACTAATAACTTTTCAGCTTCGAATAGAAATTAAAATATTTTAGTCTACAATGATAATATTGAATTTTTATCCCGTTATTCAAGTGTATTTCATTCAAGGAAATGCTTGAAGTTACGTATAATGTTAACTTTTTTATTCGTTATAGATAGTATACTATTAATGTTTACACAACCAATAACAACATCGTGAACCATGACGACCATGGGATAAGTGTCTACTAGTTAGTTAATATTCTATGAAACTGCGTTTTTCTTATTAGTTTGGGATACACTTTTAAAGTTAATTTAAATAGAAAACGGTAAAATATTGTATTAATATAGTTAATCCTAAAAAGTGACTTCAAGTTTAGAAATGGTTTTGTAAGACTTTCTTGAAATTATAAGTTCTATCCACAAAAACTTTTACCTTAAAGTTTTTTGAGCAGTAAAAGCAGTCAACATTTTTTTGATATTTAATTTTATTGATAGTAAGCTTTTAGGGTTTTAATATTTAAGACAATAGAATAAAAAAAAATCATTTCGTAATATTTATCTAATATTTCCTAACTTATTAGTATACTTAATGCTATGAATTAAATTATACTGATAATACATTATGAAATATTAAGAAAGGCAGTATAATAATTTATTTAATATAAATATATATATTTAAATAATTCTTGATGAAGATTCGATAAAAATAATGTTAGTTGATGAGCAAATTCAGTTAAGCATTGTAAAATGTCTTATACACAATGATGTTTTAGAAATAGTATATAAATAGTTAACTCACTTTATAATTACAAGATGTCTTAATTTTCAATTTCCTTTGTCTCCTGGCATTTTTACATTCATAATTAAATCGGACTTTCGAAAAAAATCTAATGAAAATCAACAATTTTTTGACTATTTAAGTGAAAACTATGAACACTACATTCTCGCACTGTTGGTCGAGTAATTACTGAAGGATCTTGGCGATGTGCCGGTAATAGCATGTGCGAGTTCTTTCAAGACCGCTAGTCACGCCCACAATCAACTCGGAAAACAGCCCTTGAAATAATTCAAAAGCGTACCATATTATTGGTAACGTGTATAATGTTTATGTTGTGTTTGATTTAATTAACTGATGGTGACTTTTCATTTGATTACAGTTGCGATTTGTAAAATTTGTGACTAATTTATAAATATAGTTTTAGTATAGTTTTTTTTAACCATGTTTGATATCATTTCCAAAAGCTATTGCTTGGCCCAGAGAGAATCTACACAGCCCAGTGCAACGGAATCGTACTCCGATACCTACGCACCGAGGCACATTGCGGTACCCGTTGGGTTGGTAGTACTTAGATTATTAATGTAATTTTTAGACATTACAAATAATTGTATTTAAATTAAGTAAGTGAAATAATTAGTTGGTTTATTGAGGATGTTATCTTCAATAAAATGTTGAGATGTATAATATACATAATATATACATTGTTTATATTATGTATAAATGAAAAACTTCAAAAGTTCCTAATTATCGCAATACCTTACACACACAATGATATTTTTTCTTGATTACTAGAATTATCTTACAATCGTCAATCAAACAAACAATTAAAGAATCTACTTTTAGTAATATAGCCAGAATATTTGTTATGGGTGGGCTAAGGACCTTTATTTTTTATTTTTTTTGGCTTATAACGTGCTCTTATTAGCGCATTTTATATAATATAAAAATCTAATATTATTAGATATCATCGATGAAATTACTTTTTTTTTTTAATATTTTTTAAAAAACTATAACATAGTAATTACATTTTCAGCTACAAATGGAAATAAATAATTTTTTATTATTGTATAACTTAAACTATAAATTTAAAAGTATTTGGAAATCGAAGATGACATAGATTGAGTACGCTATTAAAATTATGTAATTAATATTATTAAATGAGTAAATCTGGTATCTCAGTATTTTTAGTGTTATAAAAATCTAAACAAATAAAATTTAAAAAATACAAGAGGGATATTTCGTCCATTACAAGATTAAATTTGTCTGCATTTTAAAATAAATAATTGTATGATTCTAGCATTTATTTGACAATCAATTAAAACCTTTACTGGATACTATGAATACATTTCAGGTTTCATGAATTTTTAATTGGTTTAATAGTATCATGAAAATGTATTGTAACTATACTCCGTAGAGTTATCGTTATATAACTTATACAATATGTGCCTAATGAAATATTGAATATTTAATATGTAGATAATGTTTACCAGAAATACTAGTTTCGAAACATGAGATGTAACTGTTGACCCTATAAAGATTATTTTACAAACAAACAAATATTTAGTTACTTTTTTATTGAAACGTAGTTAAACTTGGCTTATAAATGTAATTATTCTTCGTGCAGTTTTTGGGTAGAGAGTGGGTAGTCTCTAACACACCGTCCTGACACTTCTCTCGTGACCGGTTCGATTGTATCCGAAGACGTCAATCGCCATTCTTCCACGAAGATCATCTGTACACTTCCGACTCACCTTTAGATTATTATCTTCACACACTTTTAGCGTCTCTAATCGCCTATTATCTGGTTATTTTGACCACTTATAGTTTTTTCTTTGGTCGCCAATGTTTTAATATATTAATCGCCATTCGTTTGATTAGTGTATATCATTATTTAGTGATGAGAAAAATACTAGAACTTTTATAATTACATACATGAAAATTACATTGGTCATTTGAGAAACAACAATAAGTCAAAAATTATTATTTATAAAAAAATATTTTAAGATCTAATGTGCAAACAACATAAAATAATAAATATTATTTTATTATTAATTCACAGCATTTAATAAGAGAAATTAACAGTCGTCCCGGAATCGATTATTAGACATTAAGTAAGAGTATAGACCAGTCACTAAGAAAATGTCTGGTCTATATCAACTCTTGGATCAGTATTTCAAAAGTTAGAAATATTAAACAGTGATGTCTATAGATGGGATGCGAGTGTTTTCAAGCACTAAAAGTCATAACTAGCCATTAACCTTGGAGTTAGTAGTCGAATATACATATTGGAAAGAGCTTATTAAAATAATTATCCCGTTTTTGTTATAGCGGTGTCGCTCTATGTTAAGCGTAAAGACAATGTTCTCGATATTCTCTTCATTTTTTTGTTGGTTCATATTTTGTTCTCTCGATTAATAAACATTATAATAAATTTATAATAAGGATTTATTTCACTTTACTGACGTTTTTATTCGTTAGTTTTATCCGCAATGATTCATTGAAAAACAAATTTAATTATTACACACTTTTCGGCACAGGCGTTATCTAGCGTCACAATGTTTAACTACTTTTGGAATTTGATGATAATCCTTGCTAGATGGTGTTCGTGAGGTGTACACATATTGGTTTGGTGACCCTGAAAGATCTGATAATTTTATACGTTTATATGTACCACTGCAGACTTAGAGTGAAAATACAAAAGTCAATATTTTGAGAATTTTCATCAATATTTTTCGAAAGATCAAAGTCGTAAAGTTAAGCGTCACATGAACTATTTTGTTAAACTAACGATTATTTAAAAATATCTATTTGTAATTATCATTTTACTCCTTGACCTAGATGCATACACACATACAATTTTAAAAACACGGTGGATATAAAGTATTAACACTAAGTGATGGTTTCGAACAGTTATCTTTTATTTACGAAACATAAGAAACAAAAAATCAAAGACAGTATAACATTGTAACACAATATAAATTAATCCGATTTACGTACAAAGTTACACGCCTGCACTGTATCTTACCTTAGCGACCGTGACCAATAGCTAACATTTTGACAGACGAGCATTAATTCTTGATAGCACATCCCATAATTAGTACAATATCAAAATATATTCTTTTAAGGTAGGTTTAATAAAAACTAACCTACTTTGCAAAATTAATTAAATAAATTGGTTTGATGACTAACATTTTAAAAATATATTAAAATAATATTTCTTTATATTTCTAGTCATACCAGTTTTTAAAATAAAAAACTACTTATAAATATATAAATTTATTAACAACAAATATAGTAACAAAAAATATTTAACAAAAAAATAAATTAGGTAAATGTGTAAGAAACGAAATGTGTAGAATTCGTGTTTTACACTTTTTCGATGGTTCATATTCATTAAAAATGTTTGCCCTTTTCAACGAGTGTGAATTATTACATAGTTCAGCCGACTTAACTGAATTAGATGGATGTTTTTCCATATTTTCATAACCTGGTGAAATATTAGAGAAAAATCAACAAATTAAGCATGAATATTATTGTAATATAATATTACATTATTGTAATTATATTCATTATATTATTGTAAAAAATAACAAATATATCCGATAATATATTTGTTATAATATTATTTCATACTTTTTTGACGTTCAACTACAGATGTCTCATCATCATGTTTGACTTTTCTTTTCGTAGATGATTCGTCAATGTTTGCCGGAAACGGTTCTACGAGTATTTCGTATGGATTTCCCCAATAAGATGAACGTGATCGATCGATCTTTTCTATTATTTCTTTGGCAAATGGTTCATAATCTTCCTCAGTTACTGGAGCTGTATTGGACTGTGTAGATTTGCGGTACGAACGCTTAGGCCTGTCTTTTGCTGTACTTTCAATATTGGATTCAATATTAGGATTGGCACTCAAACAATTTTGTTTATTGACAGGAGCCTGTTTCTTAAATGAAATAGTAGGTTTTTCACGCAATCGCTTGAGTTGGGAAAACAATTTTTGGGCCTTCGCGCTCATCGTTACAAATAATTTCAATAATTAAAACTTAAAAATGACAACGACTTTGACTTTGAGAACAATTAAAAAAATTGATGATTATCTTGAAAGTCAAAAAATGTTCTAAGTCAAACTGAGAGTAAAATGTTTGCTAATTTACAAATAAAAAAATTGTATCCAGAGAAACTATTAACAGAAAATGTAAACTAAATATTTTTTTTTTAATATTTGAAAACGTACAAAAATTGCTTGTTTATTTTTCTTAGGAACATTTATAGGACAGCATTAATTAAATAATAAAGTACTATAAAATAATAGATTATTTCATTGAAATTTTAATTGATTATGTACAAAATTGATTTAATAATTTAATCATTTAAATAAAATTCTTTTGTCTACAATCGAATAACTCTTGAGAAATCCAGATAAAGGGCGTTGCTTTAAAACAGCAGTATTATAATACACCGTTGTAGCATTCCCCTAGCTTTTTATATGTTTTTGAAACCTTGCAGAAAATATGATATGGAAAAAAATGTCATTTAGTTATGAAATAATTCATTCATGCTGATAATTTTCCATTTACAAATTACAGCATCAACATTAGGTAGATCTTGATCTAATTTTCTCTTTTTCTAAAATATTTTTATTAAACTATCTCTATGATTTTTCGGTAGTGGAGTAGGGATAAAAATTAAACACCTATCCAAAAATTAATTTTTACTTTGAAAATCCATTATGATTTAGTAGAACACTATAATTTAAAAACCTACTTACACCTATGTTATTTCGTCAAGGAAAAACAAAATTAAAAACTAATTTTATTGAACATGTGTCTTTTTCTCACTGGAAATCTTGTATGATAATATTTTGTATTTTATATTTCCTATACCGATAAAATATTTATGACATACTAATATCATACAATTCAATAAATTTCAACATACTTAGAAAAAAATCTCAGCACAGTGGAGTCGCGGTACATTTGTGACTTTGCATTGTTAAGTCAAATATAATGATATCTGACAGTGATTAAAATCACTATCATAAAAAACGCTTCGATGCAAATTTATAGATAGTATTTAATTTTAAAAATTGCTGGATTATTCCAAAAGCTACATGATCTTTTATTTACTTATTTATATTCTGATTACAAATTTTATGATTTATAAATGTAATATATTTATAATAAATAAATATATAAAG